CCACCTACAACAACATGGATGGATGTACAGGATATAATGATCAGTGAAATAAGTCAGAGAAAGACAAATACCATAAGATTTCACTTATATGTGGGATTTAATAAATAAAACAGAACAGAAACAGATTCACAGATATAGAGAACAAATATGTGGTTGCCAGAGGAGAGAGGGGTGGTGGATTGAGTAAAGGAGGTGACAGGGATTAAGAGGTACAAACTTCCAGTTACCAAATAAATGAGTCACAGGGATGAAATGTACAGCATAGGAAATATAGTCAATAATATTGTCATAACTTTGTATGGTGACATGGTGACAGATGATAAATAGACTTATCATGGTGATCATTTTGTAATGTATAAAAATACCAAATCACCACATTGTACACCTGAAACTAACATAGTGTTGTATGTCAATTATAATTCAATTTTTTAGAAAGTAAAAGGGGGAGTCCTTTTCTATTACTGCCTTCCTCCAGTCACCTACACTTGAACCTCAAAAAGCCTGAGCCAGATCATCAGCATCATTCTCTTTTCAGGGCCCTCTCAGGTAGAATTGGAGTCGGGAGAGAATTTTCAGATGTCAAGTGTAAAAGGTTCATTTTACTGATGGGAAAACTGAGGCCCAGAGGAGGAAGGAGACTTTTGCCAAGGTGATATGCTGGCTGGTGGTGGAGCTAGCAATAGAACCCAGGGTCCTCTTGACATGGCTTCCCAAAGTATGGTCTTGGCCCCCCAAAACTAGCTCCTCTCCGAGTTCCTATTGCTATCAGAAGCTCTTTTACTCCCAGTTAATGAGACTGAGAATCTGAGAGTCATTATTAACTTCTTTATCCCACATTTCCAGCTAATGAATCTTACTGAATCTTACTTTAAAATAGATTACTCTTTATTCCAGTTGCCATCACCCTGGGCAGTGCTGCTTCAGCCTTGCCTCCTGCTGGCCTCCCTGCCTCTGACCTCTCTCCAGTCCATCCAGCAGATAACTAACATATTAATCATAACTAATGGTTGTCATACACATGTGTGCCACCACTGTTTCTAAGTGCTCTACATTTGTTACCTCACTTACTCCTCATAAAACCCTTGGATTTTTTACTACCCTGATTTTAGAAATGAGAAAACAGAGGCACAGAGCAGTTAAATAATACGTCTAAGATTGCACAGCTAGCAAGCGGCAGAACTGGGATTTAAAAAAACCAGATCAGCAGGGGAGGGCATAGTTCAGTGGTTTGGTGGTAGAGGGTGAGCTTAGCATGCACAAGGTCCTGGGTTCAATCCCCAGTACCTCCATTAAAAATAAATTAAATAAGTAAGTAAACCTAATTACCTCCCTCTCCCTAAAAAAAAATAAAAAGAATGATGTAGCAATGTATTTAAAACAAAACAAACAAACAAAAAAAAACAGGTAGATTGTTGCCAAAGTCCAAATTACCAAACTGCAGTGCTTTTTTCCTGAAGCACTCATATTACTGTGTTACTTCTCTGTCCATGAACCTTGAGCAGCTCCCCTCTGCCACTGTGGAAGTTCAAAGTCCTAGTCGGGCATTTAAATAACTGCATGGTTGGGCTTTCACTAGACTTCTGGTAAGTTAATGAACTTCTGTGCCTCAATTTCCTGACCTCTTAGTTGAGCAAGATCATAACAGTAACCACCTCGTGGGGCTGTTGTGAGGATTAAAGGAAGTCACCCACATAAAACACTTAGCTCAGGGCCCAGCACAAAGTGACTCTTAATTGGCATGAGCTGTCATTGAGCTACCAAAACCCAGCTTCCTTACAGGATCCTTTACAAGACTCCAGCAACCAGGCTGTTGCTGCCAACAAATAGTGCTTGTTGCTGAACTGAATGCTGGTGCAATTCTTTCCCTTTCTGGAAATTTTACCCCACTGCCACTCCCATTCCCATACGCCTGTGCAGACAAATCCTCCCACCCTCCAGTCTCCCTTCTCCACTGACCCTTCCCCCTACATTAATCTGAATTCCTGGAACACTTATTCCCATCACACTTTTTTTCACATCTTTGGTTAATCATTTGTTAAACATGTATCAAGTGCATACTCTATTAATAACAATAGTTGACCTTGACATTATAGTTTTTTTCAAATTTTTTTGAAGTGTAGTTGATTTACAGTGTTAGTTCCAGGTGTACAGCAAAGTGATTCAGTTACACATATACATACATAATATGTGTTTTCTTTTCAGATTCTTTTCCATTATATGTTATTACAAGAAACTGAATATAGTTCCCTGTGCTATACAGTAGGTCATTGTTGTTTATCTATTTTATATATAGTAAACATATGTCTGTTATTTCCCAACCCCTAATTTATCCCACCCTTTCTCTTTTGGTAAGCATAGTTTGTCTTCTATATCCATGAGCCTGTTTTTGGTTTGTAAATAGAATTTGTATCATTTTTGACATTATACTTTAAAGGGCTTCAAGTCACAACTCTGCTTCAGTAAATCTTTACGAAAGTGGTGGATGGTGGTCCCTATTTTAGAGCTGCTCTAGTTTCCCCAGCTGTTGGGTGTCTGTCCCAGGGACTGTGGGGAGCAGGGTGGCGAGGAAACCAAGTCCCCCTAAAACCGAGTTCCCCTACTAAGTTTATGATTAATCTCTCTCTCCGAACTGTATCCCCTTTCTT